ACAGAGAAACATGTCCTGAGTGGTTGAAGAGTTATGGGCCCTAAGGAAGAAACTGGTCTTCAAGTTTTAGCATGCATCAGAAAGATTATGTGTCAGACAACAGATCGGGCTGGCTCTAACAAAGGGAGACAATCTGGGCTACTCTCTCCAGTGTAAAGAATAGGCTTTATAGGTCCTGCCTCAGAATGTAATCTTCCATAACGGCACAGATTTTACAGACTGTAAAGTAGCCAGGCTTATAAACATTGGTCTTTTTGGCATTGTTTTCAACTTTTATTTAGGATACAGTCACCTGCAGAGGATGTTGTAGTGTTGTTATGCCAAAAGCAAGATTTCAATGTAGTGAGATTTACCTAACATAGAGACTATTCAATTCTTATGTTCAAGCCAGTGACGGAAAAAGCTCTCACTATTGCTATGGCTTATAGGTTCATATATTACTATAGAAAGAATATAACTTGTATGTATGCTACCTTATCTGATGCGTCACTAGATTGTTACATGTCTGTCTGTATTTCCAGTAGTTTAGACTATGTCCATGGTTTTTAAATGCACCGCTGCTGATTTATGAAATGTATGTAGTCATGAAAACTACTCTTTTCTATCTTGACTCCTCCCACTGAAGTCAAGGGTAGAATTTCTCGTATGAGAACAAGGCTAACGCTGAGTGATTTGGACATCCTATGACCTTATGCACATGATGTCAATGAGAATAGCAGTGAACAGCAAAATGCAAGATTCTCTACTAATGGTAGGAATTAACTCTTGCATGTTTTGTGGTTTTCTTCACATCTCTTTTGATGTCTTGCAAAATAAAACAAAATTAATAGCTGCTTTTACAGTACAAATGTGCATGCAAAAAGATTCCACTTTCAGAACCAGTCATTTTTCCCCCTTACCTGCAGGGAAAATGAGAAGTCAGTTAAATTGTATGATAGAACCTTTTCTATGTGACTAAACAGAAAAATAAAATGCAGGGAAAGTTTCTAAAGAAATAATCCTTTAACAGGCCATGGAAAGAGAATAACGGAAAGCAACAGGTAGAGAGGAAAGAACTCCAACAAACCAATGTTTTTCTCCCGGTCTTTTCTGAGAAATTATTTTACAGCTTGGCTTTCTGTGCAGCTGTGCTACTAGGAACATGAGCTAGGAGCTGAGCTCCTTTATTCTAATTCTGTGGCATATGTACCAGAAACTGGAGCAATAGTCTTCAGTGTTTGAATTACATTTGCCCCCTTCTGTCCAAGTGAGCAATACCAAATATGTCAGTACTGAAGTAATTGAGAGTTCTCTGACGGCTCTTTAGCCTTCTGCCTTATCTGTTAGTACTAATTAAATCTTCTATGGTCCTACCTAGACCTGGTATGTTGCCAGAGTGACAGATGTTTCAGCAACTGCTGTTTATTTTACTTAGTAATAGTTGCTCACAGATTTTAGAAATTATTACTGCCGCTATGTGTTGCTATTGTCATTGACACTGTAGGTTTCAGTAACTACAGCCTCTAAATAATTATAAATAACCAATCCAACAAGTAATAAATCTAATCCTTCATATTTAATTTGTATTTATACACCATTATAAGATGAACTTGACCAGTACCAGTATACTGTTACACTAGCTGCTTTTTCCCATATTTTCCCATTAGCAAGCATGTGTAGGTCATGAGGACTATCAGTGGTATCCTGTAAGAAATTCCATCATATACTTCATGCCTTTCTGTATTGATGTCTTGATTACTGAGTAAACTGGTGTTTGAAAGGAAGGGAATATAAAAAAGTGGAAAAGAGAAGAATTGAATTGTGCTAGTTACACTTCAAATTTTTTTTTACTATTTTGGAAAAAGAAGCGGTTTCTGTTGTATTCCGAGGTTAAAGAGTGAAATTTGTAGAATAATAATATGCTTCACATTGTGAGGGTCTTGATATGTAACATAAAATTTAACTATCCATAAATAGTCAAGAACCTATTAAAAAGTTAATTAATTATATGGAAACTGCTAAGGAATACAAGGCATGTCAAATGAGAAGGTGGGTGCAGTCCTCTTTTATCAGACTCCAGTCTCTATCAGTAGTTTTGTGCATTCCTCAAAAATTGAAACAGAACATTAAAAAAAACCTTAAAATTTTGAAACATTTACAGGAAATGCAAAAAAACCTCCACCCCTAAAACTCAGCAAAACCAACAATTAACAAGTACTTCAGGTCAGAAGAGGGAAAAGATCCAGTAAGTAGTTTACACTTCCAAGTGTAATCAAAGTAGAAAAATAACTAACTGTTCCTGCCGCTTAGATCAATGACTGTTGTGAGATAGAGAAAAAAAATACATGCATTGTCTGTAGGGAGTGGGAGAAATGGTCTTGCAATGTGTTAAAATTTGCACCTGTGTGAATGGTGGTAGTGATCTAGTGAGGCAGTCAAAGATTTTTAGTAACATTATTTTATCACAAAATTCTGCAGTATTTTTTATAGATACTATGAGCATTTAAATACATATGCATGTGTAATACAGACGCAGATGAACATGTTTATCCATATAGTTCTCAATCTGCACAACAGCTTTGCTTTTCCTCCATTATGGCAGATCATGATGGTTTCTACAGGCTCCTATATAGTGTTTGCCAGATTTAGGCAATGCTAATATGAATAAGAAATAGTGCATGATGGTAATATGAGTAATAAGAAGCGTATCAGTTGTGTTTTTTCAAATTTTAACCTCTATTACGCAATTTGGCAAATAAACAGATGCAATGCAGTGTTGCTATTTCCCTTCCAAGGTTAGATTTCCTGGTTCCTTACAGTTGGGTTTTCATTCCTGTTAGAAAAGAGCTAAGAATGCCGTGGAATGGATTCTATGCACCTTTATTTGCAATGTCAGTAATACCCCTTACGAAAGGAGAACATAATGTCACTGATGCATCAGTACCTACAAGAATAAAGCATTTGAAAATACTTAGTCTGGTGGAGCAGCCCTTCCTATTCCAGCCCAAGATCTGAGAAAGTTCCAGTTCTGCAGTTCATGGCAGGGTTTGATTTCTCTTATCGGATCATGACTGTCCATACACACAAAGCTCTGAGTGTCCAGGTATGGCTGTCAGTACCAATTACGTCAGTCACCTTTGTCTTCCCTGTTCATATCATTTTGGCATTAGCAAGCTACAAACCCTTTATTTATGGAAGTTGGTTTTGCCTCATGTTAAGCTGTATATTGTTACATTAGTAAGCACCATGCAAATGAATAGGTAATAAATACTGTACTGAGACTGTTAGGATAGATATTGCCAAATGGTCCCAGCCAACCACTGTTACTCATTAATTTTTCCTTCTTTTCCTTTTTGTAGGCTGATTTCCTGTAAAACATTTCCATTTTGACTACAGATTTTTCTTGTTTCTCATATTTTGCTCATATATTCAACGTATATTAATATGTTTACGTAAGAGCAGGTCCTTGCTGTAATCAACAAGCTATCGTAAATAAAAAATAAATGAAATCCTCAGTACTACAATAGCTGTTTGTCTCTGAGGATTTCTAATTTCTTTGACTTCATTGCACCATTCGGTATGTGCTGGGGTAGCATATTGATTTCTCAACGCAGGAGCATCTGGCCAGGATCCGCTTGGTCCTTTTCACAGGCACTCGGAAACAAGGGATAAGGATCTCTGTAGGCACTTGATTTCCCCATCTCTCATGCTCTAGCAATGGATATATTGCTTCTGATTACTCCCAGTCCCTCTTGGTCAAAACCAAACAGCAAGGGTAGCTCCTGAATTTGAGACTCTCATGTGGTGGAGTAAAGAACTAGATTGTGATTCCTGTATATGTATTTGTGTGCATTGTAGGAAACATGCTTTTAATAAATCAGAAGTGTTGAATATAGTCATGTAACTTCTGGGACTATTGTCTTGATATTGAAATGCAAGGTTCTTAATTTGTGTGTTCTAGAAAAGTACAATTCAACATAATAAATGTGCTTCCTTCTTAATTAGCAGAATGAGTACTTTCAAGAAGACATCAATTTAGGCTCATACAGTTACAGAAGGGATAACATTTTTGGAGTAGGATTGTTAAGGCAGATGGCATCTGTAGAGTGGCAAAAGATCTGAAGTTAAGGTTTGCTTCAGATAAGCACCTAATTGTTCAGATACATTTCTGGAATTTAACAAACTTACTGTGTAAAAATCTTGTGAGACCACGTGATTTTACTGGGGTTAGCACTTCCTAGACAATATTTTTGAAGCAGTCTGAAGGGCAGATGTGCATGAAACACATAGCTTTTCATTTCAGATCCTCACGAGCAGTTTTATTCTTTAACTTCAGAGGGAGCATGCAGTACCAAATAGAGACATAATACTGTCTTTTTTAAAAACTAGCTCTCATGTCCTTAGCAGGGATGTCATGTTTAGGAAAACCATGATTCCCTCAGGATTCCTCATTTACTACTTCAAAAAATTATATGTCTCAAGGGAGCTTCTAAAGGCATCTTCAACTCTCTTTTTCCTTCTAGTCTCATTTGCTTTGATATTGTGAATCCTGCGACTCCCTAATGTATGACGTGAGGTTGCCGAAGTACATGCTCTTGCTGCAACTGAGATGTGAAGGAAGGGATTACTTGTTTAGGGATTACTACTGGCCCTTGGTCAGATGTTCCAGACATTTCAATACAGGCTTTACATCCAGATTTTCTTGTTTATCTGGCAGTTCATTATTTAAGGCCAGCCTGTCAAAATAGGTTAAATATTCTTTGGGAAACATGGTCACATCTTTGAGACACCACAAATATGTTTAATACAAAGAGATTGGCTTGATAAAAGAAACATGATAAACTTACATCCCCCAAAATATTTTTCTGCTGTTCCATGTAGATTTCTGAGAGCATCAGTATGCAGTGACAAGTCTCATGGCAATAAATTCCTGGAAAAGGCACAGAGAGACACCAATAAAGCAGTGAAAATGATTGCTGATGATTTGTTCTAACTACTTGACCTTGTGACATCTCCCCTAGATATATGACCAAGATGGGACACTGCAGCACTTTATTGATGGTGGAGAACCCAGTAAGTCAAGCTGGATGAGGTATATCCGATGTGCAAGGCACTGCGGGGAACAGAACCTAACAGTGGTTCAGTACAGGTAAAGTATGTCATAATTTACTCAATGCAACAAAATGAGAATGTTTTTACTGAAAAGAAAAACTGTAACTGTCACTAGCACTATTGCCTTTGGTTGCAAAGGCGGTAGCAGGGCTTTTGTGAATGTGCTCATTTGACGCAAAACAAAAGCTTCGGAGTGTAGCAAGGAAGGGTTTAACTTTGGTCGTCCTGAGCTGAGGCCATTGTGGTAAGTGTTAGACCTGGAGCTCCTGGGGACAAGTCCAGCCATGTCTCACTCGTGACCACCACACTGCACAGAGCTGTCCCCGTGTTTTCAAACGGTCTGATCAGAAGCAAGCCAGCACAAGCAGTCTTCTGCCCTTAATAAAGAAGCATGTGCTAGAGGCAGGGGAAAAATGGCAGGAGAGGAGTTTTGAACCCAAAGGATTTCTGAGAGTCAGACACGAGACACGTACATACTTAAAGCTTATGTGTTGGGTGCACCTGCTAGCCAAGATCGCTAGAGTTTGTGCCTCTTCTGTTGTTGGCTGGAGAAGGTCAAAATGTGAAGAAAAATGTAAAGAAGTTACGGTGCGTTTTACTTTGCACTCACAAACAGATCCAAAAAACCCAGACAACGCATTACACAAATACATGATCTCAGCTATAAACAAACTTTTTGCCTCAGAATCAGAAGCAACTGCTTGGCCTTATTAAACGTGGTAGGAAGCACTTCAAAGAATGCCCGGGGCTTGCCAGTTGCACCGAGCAATCCCGTTTTTCGCTGGTTGCTCTAGAGAGTGGGTTTCTTTTCTTTGGGAACAATCTTAAACTTATTTACAGTACCTTTAAAATTAAAAATAAAACATAGAAAAGCAAGCTGAAATGAAATATATATAAAGTTTGATTATCCCAGAGGGTTCCAATTTAACAATGGTAAAATTGTTCAATTGCATTTTCAGCTTTTTTATTCTCTGGCCAGTTGACTAAATAATGTGGCCGTTAAAAAAATAACAATCCTATTTATACATTACAAGTCTTTTATTATACCCTTAAATATCTGATATCTATAGCTAAAATCCCATCAGATTTTAAATAACCACACTGGATAATGAATAAAGATTGTAATGATGAAAGAGTATTTTTGTAGGTATCTTGTGAACTATTTCTCAGTGTGGTGGTGTGTGTGTGCACATGTATATATATAAATAAGAAAAAAATGCATATGCGTACATATATATAGATGACAAACCTAGATGAGAAGTGAACATGAGAAAGTCATTACACATCTGTCAATATTAAGTGGATTTTACAACTCTCCTTTCATGATGGAGTTTTTACTTAGAGTTCCCTCTGTTGATCTGTTTTCGATTACTTCAGATCTTTATAAAATGAACTACAAAAACACAATTTAAAAAATTGGCATCCATCACCAGTGACTGCATCCAAGTGTAAGAAAATAGAAAAGTTGGACACTGAAAAACCGGCCTAATTTTTATTGTACATGGACGTCCTCCTCACAGAAAGTCAGCTGGTTTAAATTCATTCTGTTATGATTTGTAATATCTAAATGGAATTTTCTTCAAAGTGCTCTTGATTGATTGACCCTTAGCTGAACGTTTTGTTTTTATTTTGAGGCTGACAATAATGTTTGTTGGCATGTGTTCTGCTTCAACTGCGTTGGGACGCCATGAAGCTATCTTTATGAGTCATCCAACCACAATACTAAATACATGTCAGCAAAGGAAATATTATCCGAAAAGGGAAATATCCCTTTGATGTACTTCAGCATGCAGAGATTTCTGCAAGTTTTGGAAGCTCTGCACGCTTGTAAGGGACAGTGTACGCTTACACTTTTTTTTCCCTGCCTACTCCAAGCCTCACAGACCACCCATTGCTCAAAAACAGTTCTGCTCTTTCAGCGGCAAAGTGTGTCATTTGGTTTTAGCACATTCATTTGCCGGGCTGCTGTGTTTATGTTAAGGGAAGCCAAACTGAGAGATGAAATGTTACAAGGGTGAAGTACAAAGTAGACTCAATTTTTCTCAAGTTAGGAGATGCCGGTAATTTATAGAGCGGCTCTGATTTTCATTTTTATGTAGCAGTGGAAAGAATTAACAAAATGCACAGCTCTGGGAAGAAAGAGAGGGAGAAGAGGAGAGGAGGAGGATGAGGAGGAGGACGGAAAGAGAGGGGGAGACACAAAGGGGAGAGTTTTTGTCAGATATTCATAGAAGGGTAGGAAAACCGTTCTGCTTAGCTAGCAGTGCCCTCCTGAGACAGGGTGGCAGTAAGTGAGGAAAATAACAAGATAAATGAAATTTTTGCAGCTGCTAGTAAAATATTGAGAATCTGCACTTTTTTATTGATCTTTATGATCCTGTTGCCAAGAGCCACTTTGCGGTGACAAAATATGTTGACAAGTGCATATCTCACTGCCATGAAAAATGTGGTAAAAGATTCTCCTTATGTCTGCAGTGTTATACAAGGAACAAATTGCATCGCTACAGCCAATTCTTTATAGAAAGTCTAAATTTAAGGCCTACCAACCCTAAACACTTTTATCTTGAACTTCAGGCTAACGTTTGTAGCAATTCTTCACTCAGAAAACCGGTTGAGGCCTAACATTTTTTTTTGTCTATAGATGTTTTTCTGCCTTACATAAGCTGTTATAAAAAATGGTCATTTCTTGGTACTTTGACTGTATCATTTTGGTGTGTAATCCTTCAGCGAGAGTGGAGTGTTCTCCTTGTATATATTGAATTTCTATCCATCTCACTGGAGTGTGTTTTACTGTTTTATGTGAAGCCTAAAGGAAAAGCCACTACAAACTGATAACATTTTATTTTATCTTGTGCCTGATTCTAATCTTATACAGTTTTTACCCCCATGTAAACCTGCTAAGTGTAGAAGTATCACTTTGAAGCTATTTACACCAGTGCCACATCAGGATGAAGCTCTTGTTTTTGTGCTAGAGATTCTAGGATTTTTCTTTTTCACCCCCTCAGCTCCCAATTCAGTGGTCTAGGAATATCCACAGTCTTTTCCCACAGAGTGATGCGACAAGACATCATGTTTATGGTAATACTAATTTATACTTACTGAAGGATTATCAACATTACCCTCATGTTCCATACAGGGAAAAATTTTATGGTTGTGTGTTCAGATTAACCATGTGTTTTAAATTTCCATAAGACAAAGTCTATTTTACGCAAGAATCCAAGATGTCTCTTTCTGGTGGCATATTGCTTAATGAAGGGCCACGCTACTTTAAACCTCTTGCTAAAAGAATGTGTTGAAATGAAAGAAGCGTTGTCTATTTACCCCTAAAATATGTCTACTCTAGCTTAGATGACAAATGCAAAACTGTTCAAATGGCTGAACTTACAGAACTGTGTGTACCAGTCTGATGTTTCTACCATGTGAGCAAAATCTAACATTTCTTAAATTACTTTCAGAGGAACACTGCAAGAAAATATCTGTCTTTTCCTAAAATCTTGGTATGTGAAAATCTTAGTGTTTAAAATATACTGGGTAAAAAGTGCCTGTAAGCTCTTTATTACCCTGTACTACAGGAACAAAGTCCTTCCCTTACATAGATTAGATTTTAAAATAATCAGTAAGTTATTAATTTAGCTATCTGCAGAAATGCTTCCAAAACAATGGATTTATACTGTAACACTGTGTATGATAGGAGGAGAATTCTCTATTCCTAATTTAGGCACTTTTTTCTTTTTCTCTTGATTAGGTCAAATATATTCTACCGGGCTTGTATAGATATCCCCAGGGGCACCGAACTGTTGGTGTGGTACAATGACAGCTACACATCTTTCTTTGGAATCCCTCTCCAGTGCATTGCACAAGATGAAAATTGTAAGTTCTTCCTTGTATTTCCACCTGTGTAAGCCAGAATTCCTGTTTTGTACTTGATCAGATATATTCATAGAGTATTTTAAAGATGTATTAAATGAAAGCAGTTATATATTTAAGGTAAGCCTTTGATCATGGTATGATCACCTAAATACACGAAGGTGTTAGATATGTGCAATTAAATAGCAGATTTCCCACCATGGCAGCCCCACATAGCTTGGTAGTGTATAGAACCACTCTCGCTTGTAAGTGATTAATTCCTAGTCCATCCTTAACCAATTTGCTTGGCCCTCTCCACTGTTATAAGGCCTATCAGAAGTTACCGTTCTGCCAAAACAGTAATGCATTGCAGGTCCACGAGGCCTGTTAATGTTTCTTCAGTCTATTACCACTGAATATGCTAAGAAAAGCTTTGTCTGACTTACTGTAGAGATGAGATCTTCTTTGAGGTTAAAAGGTAAAAGACAGTTTCTCTAAATACAAACCATGTGTAAGTAGCCTGAAATGGCAATGAACCTCCATTTTGTTCTGGACATCCCCATTCCCATCCATTCTTCCACCTCTTCTCAATAATATGTTTTTAGATTGCTTGGAATCATTACAAAATAACTCATGTATCTTAGAACACAGACCCAGTGCAGTCTGGTCCTGGATACCTTTGTCTGTAATGGATGATCCAAGTATATCCTTCAGTTTCACTGTTTCTTTGTGGAACTTGATTAGAGCTCACATTGGAGACCTCTCTTCCATTTTGACAGCTATGTCTATCTATATGGTGGAAGAAACCAATAATGGATGTCTGATTGACTTTGATCTAATGTAACCCTGCGGCTGCTCATGCTTGATAAATTTCATATGAGATATTTTTTTTTTGTCAATTACTTGGACACTTAAACAGCAACGCTAGGAGGAATGAATGTCTCATAGCAACTTAAATACTGAACCATGCAGCAATAAAACAGCAAGATAACAGGGATTAAACTGTCAAAAATAAACATCCTTTTTCATCTTGAGTTTTCAAACCTGTTGGGCTTGAGAAAAGTTTAAAAGAAATTTAATTACTGGCAGTAATGTTTGCTGATAAAACTCATGCTCTGCAGCGTACAATATAGAAATATTATTTTTTCTTTCATGATCTGGACCTTACAAAACCTTTATTTGAAAAACAAAACATTATGGTTAAAATCTCTAAATATTGTCACCTGCTATTTTGCTATGAAACAAACCATAGTTTCATCCACAGAGAGACTGACATGAGTAGATGAAATTAACCTCTGAGCATGGAGCCAGCTGCAGGCTAGTGTGTGACTTAAGTGACACTTAAGTTCTGAGAATAGATGTTCTGTGTATCTTCTGCACAGGGGTATTTTCAGCCAGTACGAACTCTGCCTATAGTCCTTAGGTCTTTAAAATCCTGATCTTATTGCTTTTGTAGACTTTCACGAATACAATTTAATTTATTTTTTTTTAAAATGCGATCTGTTTCTTGTATGAGAGTGTCGGGACAAAATGAAAATATACAATTTACCCCTTTTACTGAAGGAACATAGAAGATGTATTATGCATCCAGAAACTCGTGATAGACAATCCCATGGATGTAACTCTACTTAGAAATCAGATCCTCAGGTACTCCAGAAAGCAATAACCTAGGAACGACCTCAACTTAAGTAAATTAAATAGCATATAATATTATAATACTGGAGTCATTATGATTGACAAAAGATATTAGAACGTAACTCTGTCAAGTAACTGACATTATTTAAGGTATTACCAAAAGATTAGTTTGTATTAAATTTTTACTGTATATTAAAAAATGTTGGGTGATTCCAGCTCAGGAATGAAATTTCATTCTCGTATTTGCTCTCAGAAATCTATCATCATGACTCACTTAAACAGAGTTGCAGTTTCTAATCACCTCTTTAGTAGGTGCTACGTACCTACTTGTGGATATACACATATAAACACCTCACAACAGTAACTAAATGTGTGAACATGTGTAGACACAGACACATGCATACATCATTTAATTTAGAAATCCCCATTAAAATAATATCTTATGAGGTCAGGCATGCCAAAATTAGAAAGCATGAGAAAGTACTAGGGACAGGTGGCCTAAATTATGCTTCTTTTTGCATTGTGACACAATATTTTGTTAGCTAACCTTATTGTTTCATAGGATTCTTGCTTCATTCACTGCATCATCTAGATGATGCTCAAGGAGTGAGGCAGCTGTTTGACTTCTTCTACATGTGTAACCTCCTGCCCTCCTTACCATTCAACATCCAAATTCGGCACTAAATTACTGCTAAGAACAACATATTGCATTTGTTACTGAAATACTCGAGTGCCTCATAAAGCATAGGTAATTGATAATCATAAAACAATGTTTGTTCCTTTTTTGTATGCAGAAAATTGATGCATTAAGCTAGCTTTGCCTATACTTTGCATTATCTTGTGATTAGCTAACTGCTATTAGCCTTGATCATACAAGTCGTGGTGAAGTCACTGGCTTTGTACTGTATTGGCTGTGTGACTATTTGTGAGGTATAATAGTATAATACGCTTAATGTCTGCCCTTTAAGAGGAGAGGGGAATTATTGCTGCAGTAGGTGT